CCCCCTTGGCTGCTGCCCCGGGCGGTCTGGGATGTGTATAAAAGAGCTGAGGGCTCTGCAGCCTCTATCCATCTTCCTCTGCTGGACTCTCCTCATCACCTGGGTAAGTCCAGCTCTTGGAAGCCTCTTGGGCATCTATCACGGCCTCCCTGCATACAGCCCCTTCCCGGCAGCCTTGTCTCATCCCCGCTGTGTTTTCCAGGAGTGCTTCCCTGCCTGAAAGATGTCCTGCTCCAGCCTGTGCAACACGTCCTGTGGGGTGGCCGCCCCGGCCCCGCTGGCCGACACTTGCAATGAGCCCTGCGTGCGGCAGTGCCCCGACTCCACGGTGGTGATCCAGCCCCCGGCCTCGGTGGTCACCTTCCCCGGGCCCATCCTCAGCTCCTTCCCGCAGCACAGCGCTGTTGGCTCAGCGGGAGTGCCCGCCGTTGGATCGGGCTTCGGCGGCAGTTTTGGAGGCCGTGGTGGCTACGGAGGATGGGGAGGCTATGGAGGCTACCGAGGCTGGGGAGGCTATGGAGGCTATGGTGGCTGGGGTGGCCATGGGGGCTGGGGTGGCTATGGAGGCTGGGGTGGATACGGTGGTTATGGAGGCTATGGGGGTTATGGGGGCTGTGGAGGCTTTGGTGGCTGGGGTGGCTATGGAGGCTTTGGGGGCTGTGGATATGGCGGGTGGAACAGAGGCCACAGGTACCTCAATGGAAACTGTTCGCCCTGCTAAATCCCACACTGGATCTCATCGCAAACAGAGGAGAGCTTCAGAATAACCCGCAACACATCCCAAGACACCACCACAGGATGGACATCTCTGCGGCACTTCTGGGCTCTAGAACTTTGTCTGCTTCGGGCCACACTGCCTTTCTCCCGCCTTGCTACTCCTCCCGTCAAAGCTCCCTCTCCCCTGATGACAGCGACCCACACTTGGTGCCTGCCCCGGCAGCACGGCAGTTGCTCGCTGTTGCTCTGCCTGCTGCCAGATGTGGGCGGCCCTTGATCAGGGCCCTGCTCTTCTCCCCAAACCCTCTTCCCCTCAAGCTTCAATAAAAGCTCTGTTGCATTGCAGTGTCGACCCATGCTCTTTCTTCATCCTTCAGAGAATCAGAGAATGGTTTGGTTTGGAAGGGACTTTAAAGACTTTCTATTTCCCAACCTCCCCTACCACTGACAGGGCCACCTTCCCCCAGCCCAGGTTGCCCAAAGCCCCGTCCAACCTGGCCTTGAACCCTTCCAGGGAAGAGGCAGCCACAACTCCTCTGGGCAACCTGTGCCAGGGCCTCACCACCCTCACAGGGAAGAATTTCTTCCTTAGATCTCATCTAAATCCACCCTTTTCAGTTTAAGACCATCACCCCTCATCCTATCCCTACATCCCTGGTAAAGAGTGTGTCCTTCTCTTTCCTCTTGCCCCTTTAAGAAGTTTAAGGGTGTGATAAGGTTTTACTGAAGCCTTCTCTTCTCCAGCTGAACATCCCCAACTCTCTCAGCCTCTCCTCATCTTTGTTGCCTTTTCTAGACCCACTCAAGGATGTCCGTGTCCTTCTTATGCTGGGGTCACAGAGCTGGATACTGCACTGCAAGTGCGTCCTCGCTAGAGCGGAGCAGAGGAGGAGAATTACGTCCCTTGCTCTGCTGGTCACACTTCTCTGGATGCAGCCGAGGACACTGGTGGTTTTCTGGGCTGCAAGCACACATTCCTGGTTCACACTTAGTTTTCCAATCGTTATTACCCACAAGTTCTTCTTGGGGCTGCTCTCAATCCACTCCTCACCCAGCCTGCATTTGTGCCTGGGATTGCCCCAAACTGTGACTAGGACCTTACACTTGGCCACTCTTTGAATTTTATGAGGTTCCCACAGACCCAAATCTCCAACCTGTCCAGGTCCCCCTGGGTGGCACATCCCTTCTCTCCAGTGTATCAACTGCATCACATCCTCACAAACATACTAATGGTGCAATCTTGCTGAGGGGGACCTGGCCACACATGGGGATGGGCAGAGACTGAAACAGCCTTGAGGGGAAGGGAAGATGTGCAAGAGTCAGTTCAGGTGGTGGAAAAAACCAAAATGTCTGTTCTTGACATTTTTCTGCCTTTTTTCCCATCCTCTGCATCCACAGTTGCAGAAGAAACATCTTTTCTTGAGCTCCCCAGCAGGGACCAGCCTCCTGTCACACGGCCCTTCCTGACGGCTCTGGCCAGAACTGTCTGTGTCCAAGACAACGTTGCCATGCTGGGCTCACAAGATCCAAAGAGAAGTGAGGAAGGGAAGGGAGGGGTCTCAGGAGGGTCTGTTGCCCAATCTCCTGCTCAGAGAGCTTTGTGCTTCACGTCACTGGCTATCCATGGCCTCTTCATGGCTCTGAGAGGAATCTGGGCAAGACCTGGAAGCGTCTGTCTCACCCTTTCCCAGTGCACCCCACATCCAGCTGGGCACAGGGGTATGACCAGCAGCCCTGTACACGCAGTGGTCATCTCTCCATCTCTCTGCAATCCCACGTGTGACCATGAACAAGCCTGGCATGCGGGTTTTGCAGAAGAGTTTGAAGAGCTTCTGTGACACAACAATGGCGATACACATACTCAGCGAGGAATTGGTGAATGCGTTGTGTTTATTGCTGGTGGGAGACCAGAGGAAACTCAGTGGCGTGTGCTCTGTAAGACTCAGCTGGGGCCGCCATCAGCCGTTGTCACACACTGAACAAACTGCCCAGAAGCTGCAAGGGCACAACTGGGGGAGATCCCAGCAGCCCGGACCGACGTGCTCTGAGCTTTGGAGGAAGTAGGAAAGAAGCAGGAAGGATGAAGA